CACAGCCTCTCTCTGTCTCTCACTCTATATGTACATGTCCTCACCAGAGACAGACAGACAGACAGACAGACACACACACACAGCCTCTCTCTGTCTCTCACTCTATATGTACATGTCCTCACCAGAGACAGACAGACAGACAGACAGACACACACACACAGCCTCTCTCTGTCTCTCACTCTATATGTACATGTGCTCACCAGAGAGAGACAGACAGACAGACAGACACACACACACACAGCCTCTCTCTGTCTCTCACTCTATATGTACATGTCCTCACCAGAGACAGACAGACAGACAGACAGACACACACACACAGCCTCTCTCTGTCTCTCACTCTTTATGTACATGTCCTCACCAGAGACAGACAGACACACACACACACACACAGCCTGTCTTGGCATGCCACAATCTTTTTCCCTCCATATCTCCATCCTGTCGAGATTTGGGGCATGTACGAACATGTTCCTGGCATGTTTTTAAGTTGCCAGGCTGGGATTTGAGCCACGGCCAGCCACGTGGGATCTAGCCCCCGTAACCAGCGAGCTGTGAGGCCAGCCCTCTCTCTCTCTGTGTGTTTGTTTGCCAGAGGGCACGCCTGCTCTCCAGAGAGGTACAGGAAAGGGGGTTTTCAAGCTGCTGGGTCTGGGACTCAGACCACGGTCAGCCATCTAGGAGTCCAGGCTTAGCCACCGTGCCACCTGCTGGCCCTCTCTGTCTTTTTAAAAACGATCATTTGTGGGAGTTCTTCCTGGATCGCGGTAGTTCCGGGACAGGAGGCTTGCAGCAGAAGGGCGCACGGGTTCCGGAGCCGCTCTGTCCGTGAGAGCGCCCCGGGGAGCAACGACGGCCACAGAAGCAGGCAGGGCCCAAAGCTGCCCCGCTGGGTGGGCCAGGCCGTAGACGGTGACGGCCGGCAGGCCCAGGGGCTCGGTAGTCGCCGTGGAGGACAGGGCCAGCGTCACGAGGGCCACTAGGTGGGTTTCCCGCGGCCCCCTCCCTGCCTCCGCCTCGGTGATGAGAATGTCCTCCTCCCTCCTCACAGGGGGCACCTTCCACGGGAAGAAAAGGGGCAGTTAGAGTGCCCCCTTGGTGTGTGTGTCCATGTGTGTCCATGTGTGTCTGTGTGTGTCCGTATGTGTCAGTGTGTGTCCATGTGTGTCCGTGTGTGTCCATGTGTGTTGTCCATATGTGTGTCTCTGTGTGTGTGTCCGTGTGTGTGTCTGTGTCCATGTGTGTGTCTGTGTGTGTCCACGTATTTGTATGTGTGTGTCCACCTGTGTGTTCGTGTGTCTGTGTCCAGTGTGTCCGTGTGTGTCCGTGTGTGCATTTGTATGGGTGTCCATGTGTGTGTTCATGTGTCTGTGTCCAGTGTGTCTGTGTGTGTCCGTGTGTGTGCATTTGTATGGGTGTCCGTGTGTGTGTGCGTGTTTGTGTTCGTGTGTGTGCGCATGTGTTCGTGTCCGTGTGTTTGTGTCCGTGTGTTTGTGTCCGTGTGTGTTAGTCCATGTGTGTGCATTTGTGTGGGTGTCCGTGTGTGTGTGCGTGTGTTTGTGTCCGTGTGTGTGTGCGTGTGTCTGTGTCCAATGTGTCCGTGTGTGTGCATTTATATGGGTGTCCGTGTGTGCATGTGTTTGTGTGCGTGTGTGTGTGTCCGTGTGGGGGTGGAGTAGAAGAGGCCTCACTTTGCCGTGACCTCCTGCCCAGCCTTGAGCCGCTGGGACCACAGGTCTACACCAGCATGCCTGGATCTTCCAGGTGGGCTGGGAATCGAACCAGGGCTCCCACAGGGCCTTAGCCTGCCAAGTAGCAAGGCCCAGTGCTCGCGACTGAAGCTAGGCCAGAGTGCGTTCTTGCATCTGCTATATTTAAGCGTCTTCACCTCAAAGTAACCGATGTGCCCAAGTGACTTACTGTGAGTGGCGAGCTCTGAACCCCGCCAAGGCCAGCGCTTCTTCCCCTGGCCCGGCAGCTCTAATGAACCCCGAGAGAACAGGGATGGAACACTTCGGAGCCTCGTCCGTCGTCTCACCTGCATCGGGGGTGGTGGAGGGGGCTGTTATTCCAGTGTCCAGACAAGGAAACCGAGGCGTGGAGACTCCGAGCCAGCTGGTGGCCGAGCCGAGGCGTGAACTGGGCGATCCGACCCCAGAGTTCAAGTCCTTGCCCACAAAACCATGTCGCCCCTTGCCGTGAACTTAGTTGTTGATTCCTAAAGTGCGGTGTTTGTTTCCAGAATTTAAGCACCATTCGGGAAGAGTCTGAGGTGCCCAGCATCGAGAAGAAGATCACGGAGTGCGGCGAGGACGTGGCCGAGCTGTTCAACGTGCTCATGACGCTGGAGATGCAGCTGGTGGAGCAGCTGGAGGTGAGGTGGGGCCGGGGCCCAGGTGTGCACACACCTGGGGAAGCAGCGGCCCAACCTCCCACACGCGAGCTGCGGCCTACACAGGCGTTCCTCTGTGCGAGTGTCCACGCCGACTCAGCACGGCAGACACGCTCGCTCATCAGTCCTGGCTGTGCTTTGAATAATTTAATAGTTTAGATTGGAAGTGCGTATTGTGGAGAATGAGAGGTAAGTTCCTAAGTTCATTCTTCTGGAATGCTCCCCCCTGCCCCGCCCCAAGAGCCCAGAGCCTTAGGGTGTTTTGTTTTGTTTTGTTTTTAAGAGAGCCTCGCTGTTACAATCCTATCCCTCAGCCTCCCAGCTGGTGTGATATGCACGGCCACACCTGGCTCTTCTTTTTTTTTTCTGAAGAGGTTTTTGCTATAGGGCACGTGTGCTCGCCAGAAAGGCAGAGAGAGGCAGAGAGACAGCGAAACAGAAAATGAGAATTCACCCCCTAGGGGGGATGGCCACGTCACAATCCCTTCTCCTCCATTCTCCTCTCGGGATCTTGGGCACGCACGCACACGCGCCCAGCGTGAGTTTTAAGCCACCGGGTCCGGGACACGAACCGCGGTCGACTACATGGGAGTCCAGCGACATAGCCATTATGCTAACTGCTGGTCCCAACACCTGGCTCTTCTACACACAGGGTCTCGCGGTGTTGCACAGGCCAGCCTGAGCCCGTAATCCTCCTCCTCAGCCTTCTTCCTCTTCCTCTTCTTCTTTTTCAGTTTTGCTATAGGGCACATATACTCGCCAGCAAGAGACAGAGAGAGAGATGGGGAAAGTGAGAAATCAACCCCCACAGGGAAGGGCTACACCACAATCCCTTCTCTCCTCTCAGGATTTGGGGTATGCATGCACACATGTGTAGTGTGATTTTCAAACCGCCAGGTCTGGGGCTCAAACTGCAAAGTTGGCCGTGTGGAATCCAGCTACCGTAACCTCCATGTCACCTGCTAGTCCCTGTCTCAACCTTCTGAGCCATTGGGGTTACAGGTGCATGTCACCACACCCAACCTTCAGGTTGGACCATTACTTGAACCTGGGAACACAGGATCTTAGCAGCAGATGCCACCCTGGGCCCAGGGAGCTGGTTGTTTTGTTTTATTTTTTTCATAGAGCAATTGCACATATAACACATGCATAAGAGGGACACTCCTGACAGGTCCTGTCACAGCACAGCCCCCTGTGCCCAGCCCGCCAGCTCTCCAGCTCCTCCTGTGCACCTGCACGTGTGCCCTGTGTATTTTCAGGCCGACCCAGGGATTCAAACCTGCCTTGCAGGGCACCGTGTTACCATTGCACCCCAGCCGCGGGGGCCAGGGATTGGATTTTCATCAGACCCAAGGAGCTGTCCGGGGACTCACAAGATAAAGCGGCTCCCCACTCAGGGACCAAACAAAGGCTCCCCCACCTTGCAGCCCGGAGTTGGAGTTGCCGTCTCTCTGGTGATGTGAGGCGCCCGCAGCTCAGCTCTAAGTAGTGCAAATGAAAAGCACTGCTGTCTGAAATTCATTAGCGGCCGACTGGCTTGTCTGTTCACACGGCAGCGGAGGCTGGGAGTCTGAAGTGTGTGATGAATTGAACCTCATCCGACGCTGCCGTGGCTGGGCCAAGAGATAGCGCCTAATCAATTCCTCACACGTCAAGTGACACCTCAGACACGGGATAGATTTCCCCGTCACATCACACGGCGGAGGCCCGCTCCCTCTGGGGAAGGCTCGACACCGCAGAAGCTGCGCAGGGCCGGGGGAGGGCTCGGCAGCAGCTCCCAACCTTCCCAGCAGGGAGATCACTTCTCAGCATGCAGCGTTCCCCAGCCGAGCACCAGGCCCAGCCCTGGAAGGGCAGGCGTGCTTCCGCTGCCCTGTTCGCATTCTTGCAACAGCACTTACGCACGCCTGGAAAATGTGTGCTTCGCTGCTCGGCCTGCCAGGTCCTCGGGCCCTGCGCCCGGCGCCTCGGCAGCCCTGGATCTAGGATGCTGTGGCGGTGAGTGGAGGTGCTCCCGGAAGCAGGTTCATGATCGCATCTGTTCCCACAATCGGCACAAAGTCCCCTTTAGGCTGGGAAGCAGCAACTACCATGAGAGGTCGGGGGGCCAGCGTCACTCGGGGTCTCCTCTCTGCCAGGCATTTTGTGTGAATTCGTTCATGTAACTCTAGCAGAACTCCACGAGACAGACACTACGCAGGAAACCCATGTCACAACAAGGAAGTTGGGGCCCAGGGATGTGAAGTGCTTCTCCCAGGGTCGCACACAGTGGTGGAGCTGAGGTGCCGCCTGGGTGGTCTGGCTCCCGGGAACTGTCTCTGCTGTCTCTGGAGGTGATGGACACGTGCCACTGAGAAGCCCAAAGGGAGGCAGTGAGCTCTGTGTGTGGGCAAGGGGAGTAAGGCCCAGAGACCAGCACAAGCAAAGGCCCAGAGAGGGCGTTAAACAATTCTGGGGAGGGTCCAGCAGGTGGCATGGCGGTTAAGGGCGCTGGACTCACACATGGCCAACCGTGGTTCAAGTCCTAGATCTGGAAGCTTGCTCCCTCACTTTCTCTCTCTCTCTGTCTCACTCACTCTGTCTTCTCTGGTCAAATTAAAAATAAATAAATAAAGTTAAATAAAATAGTTCTTAAAAAAAATTCAGAGGAGGGGGCAGCCAGTAGCATAGTGGTTAAGGCACTGGATTCCCAAATGGCCTATGACGGTTTGAACCCCAGATCTGATGGCTTGAGTCTCATGCTGAACTGTGCGCGTGCACCCCCAAATCCCAAGAGAATGGAAGAGAAGGGACTGAAGCGTGGCCATCCCCCCGGGGAGGTGTTGTTTCTCACTTTCCCTCTCACTGTCTCTCTCTGGCAAGCACACACACTCCATGACAAAAAACCTTTAAAAACCACACACACACACACACACACACACACACACACACGATTCCGGGGACACCGAGTGAGCGATGCGGCTGGAGAGCACAGAGCTCCGGAACGGGAGGGGACAGTGCTCAGCCCTGTGCCGGGAAGGTCAAATGAGAGGTCCGTCCCTGGAGATCTGTAATTAGAGGGGGCGTCTGCTAAGACCTTAGGCCTTTGGCTCTGGGGCTAGGTGTGTAAGTGTGCGTGTGAACCGCGTGCTCTGTCATTTCCAGGAGACTATAAACATGTTCGAAAGGAACATCATCGACTTGGTGGGACTCTTCGTCGAAAACGTCCAGAGCCTATATCCTTTCTGGGGAGACTCCCCATGGGCAGGCGCTACTGGGACCCCAGGGTTACCCTCCCCCAGGGAGCGCTAGGAGAGGCGCCTGCATCTTTAACAAAAGGCAGGGGAGGGTACAGCTTCTTGGAAACCAAGGATGCAAAGTGAGGCCCGTTCCCAGGGCCACCCACAGGGTCCCATTCTGCCCCTCCCACGGTGGCCACTGGCCTGGACACGCGGTCAGCGCTGTGGTCGTGCACCGGAGGGCTCTGCCCGCCTGGCTGACGGAAAGCACCCCGCCGCCAGCGTGTATGTAAGTCCATGCCGGGTCCTGAGTGGGGACCCTCCTTTGCGATTAGAGGAATACAGAACCTCCGTTTTTCACCAGGGAGATGGGCTCACCCTCACAGGACGGGGATTTGGCCACCAGGGTTCGAATTGTCCCACAGGGCCTGAGCGGGGTTCCCACCCGAACAAGGGTGTCCTTGTTAGATTAAGGGACTGCTGTGGGGACCCCGCCATCCTCACCCGGGGATGTTCCCGGGAGGCAGTGCCCCAGACTCTCCGCCCCCTGCTGGGGGCCATCACTCGGGCTGAGGTCACTGCACGGACAGCAGACAGGCAGAAGGTCACTTGTAACAGGCTCGTCAGGTCAAATGTCGGGCGAGGAGCCAGAATCTGGGGCGGGGCGGGGCTCTGGGGGCGGGGCAAAGTGCCAGACGTAGTGTGACCACCCTTCTGCCACTTTGGGGAGGTGACTGCTGTGCCCCACCCCAGAAGCACCCCGTCCTGTGCCCCTGG